CTCGTCCAGCCATCGCTCGTCCAGAAGGTCACGCTCCGTAGTGCATCGAATGTCGACGATGCAAGACTGAAATCGGTATTTGTAGTAGAATGGCAGCTTTTTAGCTATCGTCTACTCTTCGTCGGACACGTCGCTGCCGTCCGTCACGTCGAGCGGCGCTGGAGAAAAGCCAAGCCGCGTGAGAACTTACGCAGTGGCGTTGAGATGGTTCACGTACGCGGGGATGACGTCCTCCACCACAAAGTTGCAGATGAGCAATGCTGTGACCCTAAATCATCGTCGTCGTATGCATGACTCGTCTCGCCGCAAAAAGGTCGCCGCACGTATACGACAAGAAGATGAGCATGGTCGCGTAGCTGGTGAGGGCATTGGGATCGTCTTCGCTCGTCGCGGTGGAGAGATTGGGCCCGTTGCCATCGTTCGCGATTAGCATGATCACCAAGAGCACGAAGGCCACAATCGCGACGACATAGCGGGGCAGCAAATGGAGGATGACTGTTAAGATCACCGCCCCGAGGACGATCGTCATGCGTCCGATGAGGCAACCTCGCATGGAGGCGAAGGCTCGGACAAGCTCATTGGCTTGAATGGATTCATTTCGGCCAATGGCAGATGGCGCGCTGGTCCGTTCGCAAAGATGGTCATTCCCAGCGTCGTATGTCTTACTTCGTCGACGTTGAACATCTCAATCGCATCCTCGAGGACGCCGACATACGGGTCTAGAGCGATCGTGGGCTGGCTGGCCGACGCGAGTAGGAGCGCTTCGGGAAGGTACAAGAGTAGCTTTGGTTGCAGCAAATTCTTCTTCATGCGAAGCAGCGTCGGCGCGCCGCATTGACGCGCAAACAGAAACGAGTCGACCACAAGGATCATACTTGGCGGCAAGAAGGTGCTGAGGTAGTTGCCGCCGGCCGCATTCGGCGCGCCTTCGTCGAGGTACCAGTCGAGGAGGATGACGTGGGTGGCAAACCGACGGAACGCTTTGGAATTGCAGTCGCTCTCTGGAACGAACCGATGTTGGTCGAGTACGTGGTGGTAGCACATCTTGATCAACTCGCACGCAAATGGTTGATCCAATCGGGGAAAGACTGCGTCCTTGGTGATGCCCGCAAGACTCGCGAGGAGTCGCGGCGCGCTGTCAATAGGAATGTCTTCA